GTGTGTTGAGGATGTCTCGAGCGAAACGCTTGCTCCGCAGAGTTTGCCGAGGATGTCTCGAGCGAAACGCTTGTTTTGCAGAGCCGACCGCGACGCGGAAAAGCGCCCCGCGCGAAGGAATTTCGATGATGTTTCGAATAATTTGTTTGTTTTTGTACGATTTCCTGGAATTTTGGCAGGATGTCTCGAGCGAAATGCACGACCCCACCCTAGCACGACCATACCCCAGCACGACCACACCCAGCACGACCAGACCCCAGCACGACCCCACCCCAGCACGACCCCACCCCAGCACGACCATACCCCAGCACGACCACACCCCAGCACGACCCGACCCCAGCACGACCCTACCCCAGCAAGACCACACCCCAGCACGACCACACCCCAGCACGACCTCACCACAGCACGACCACACCCCAGCACGACCACGCCAGCACGACCACGCCCCAGCACGACCACGCCCCAGCACGACCACCCCCCAGCACGACCACCCCCCCAGCACGACCACCCCCCAGCACGACCACGCCCCAGCACGACCACGCCCCAGCACGACCACACCCCAGCACGACCACACCCCAGCACGACCACACCCCAGCACGACCACACCCCAGCACGACCCGATCGATAAATCACAGGGTGCGGAGCACCCCAGCACGAACCCACCCCAGCACGACCCCACCCCAGCACGACCCCACCCCAGCACGACCACGCCCCAGCATGACCACACCCCAGCACGACCACACCCCAGCACGACCACTCCCCAGCACGACCCCACCCCAGCACGACCCCACCCTAGCACGACCACCCCCCAGCACGACCACACCCCAGCACGACCCCACCCCAGCACGATCACACCCCAGCACGACCCCACCCCAGCAAGACCACACCCCAGCACGACCGCACCCCAGCACGACCTTACCACAGCACGACCACACCCCAGCACGACCACGCCCCAGCACGCCCACGCCCCAGCACGACCACGCCCCAGCACGACCACGCCCCAGCACGACCACGCCCCAGCACGACCACGCCCCAGCACGACCACCCCCCAGCACGACCACCCTCCCAGCACGACCACCCCCCAGCACGACCACCCCCCAGCACGACCACACCCCAGCACGACCACTCCCCCGCACGACCACACCGCCTTGGTTGAGTGGTTGCCTGTCGTCGTGGAATGTTTCGTGGGGTGTCTCGTGGAATGTTTCGCGGGGTGTCTCCTGGAATGTTTCGTGAGGTGTCTCGCGGAATGTTTCGTGAGGTGTCTCGTTGGATGTTTCGTGAGGTGTCTCGTGGGATGTTTCGTGAGGTGTTGCCCCGTTGGGTATCGTGAAAACGTGCCCATGCTCCACATGTCTATATCCCTTTCCGGGTTCGTGGGTCCATCATGTTCATAATTTGTTGAGGATGTCTCGAGCGAAACGCTGGTTTCTGCAAACTTGGGGATGTCTCGAGCGGGGGCCTCGTGGGGGGCCAGAATTCAGAGGATGTCTCAGGCGAAATGCTTGTTTGCACGTCCCGCTCGCAGGGATTCGGAAGATGTCTCGCGCGTGCCACGTCCCGCGCGCAGGAATTTTGAGGATGTCCCGTAGCGCGTCCCCTTGGCACGGCCTACGGTGCGACCCCATGGCACGTCCCTTGGCACTTCGCCTGGCGCGTCCCTGGGGACGTTTCGCGGCGCGTCCTCCTGGCATGTTTTTCATAATTTGTTGAGGATGTCTCGAGCGAAACGCTGGTTTAGCAAAATTGGGGGATGTCTCGAGCGGGGGCCTCGTGGGGGGCCAGAATTCAGAGGATGTCTCAGGCGCAATGCTTGTTTTCGTGTCCCGCTCACAGGAATTCCGAGGATGTCTCGCGCGTTCCGCGTCCCGCGCGTAGGAATTCGGATGATTTTGATAGGATGTCTCGAGCGAAACGCTTGTCCCCAGCACGTTCAGTAGCGCGTCCCCTTGGCACGTCCCGCGGTGCGACCTCATGGCACGTCCCCTGGCACGACGCCTGGCGCATCCCTTGGGACGTTTCGCGGCGCGTCCTCCTGGCATGTTCCCCTTGTCCATCAGCTCTGGGGCAGCTACTATGTGTTCAGGCAGCTTCCAGATCAGTTCGGTCAGGACTCGGATGCAAAGGAGGACTCGATCCACGACGCTATAGAGCACAACCGGCACATCGTAGTTCAGCACGGCGCAGCACAGCACAGCCCTCGGCAGGGTACATCAAGATCGATACACTCAGCATTACAACTTGGCACGTTCTTTGGCACGTTCCGTGGGGCGTCCCTTGGCGAGTCCCCCTGGCACGTCGCGTGGCGCGTCCCCTGGCACATTCCGAGGCACATCCATTGGCACGTTCCGTAGCGCGTCCCTTTGGCACGTCCTACGGTGCGACCCCATGGCGCGTCCCCTGGCACGTCGCCTGGCGCATCCCTTGGGACGTTTCGCGGCGCGTCCTCCTGGCATGTTCCCTGTCCATTAGCTCTGGGGCAGCTACTATGTGTTCAGGCAGCTCGAGCTTAAGATCCAGATCAGTTCGGTCAGGACTCGGATGCAAAGGAGGACTCGATCCACGACGCTATAGAGCACAGTCGCGCCATGGCACATCGCAATTCAGCACGGCGCAGCACAGCACAGCCCTCGGCAGGGTACATCAGGATCGATACACTCAGCATTGCATTTGCCCGTCACCCAATCAGGTGTCTTTGAAAACGCTGCCATGTGTTACAGTTCTATATTCCTTTCCGGGTTCGTGGGTCGATCATGTTTTACTTTGTCTATTATTATTACTATTACTACGACCACTACTACTACTACTACTACTACTACTACTACTACTACTACTACTACTACGATTACGACTACTACTACTACTAATGATAATAATAATAATAACAATAATACGAGTATTAATACGACGGCTACGACCACGACCATTAATATGTATACCGATACTACTACGACGACTACTACTACTACTACTACTTATACTACTACTACTATTACCACTACTACTACTACTACTACTACTACTACTACTACTACTACTACTACTACTACTACTACTACTACTACTACTACTACTAATACGACTACGACTACGACTACGACTACGACTATTTCTATAACTTTTACTACTACTACTACTAACTGCTAGTTCCTTTTCACCCATTACTACTACTACTACTACGACTACGGCTACGACGACGACGACGACGACGACGACGACGACGACGACGACGACGACGACTACTACTACTACTACTACTACGACGACTACTACTACTACGATTGCGATCATTATCTCTACTACTACGACTGCTACGAATAGCGGTATCGCTGCCTTTCTGTTCCCCCAAAGGAGCGACGCGCCGCTTCTGCCTTCATCCAGGCGCCCGAGGACTTCTTCGACGCGTCGCCCACGATGGCGGACCAGTCCTACACGCCCGCGTCAGGAGAGATCTTCGGCATCCTGACCCAGATGAAGGAGACGTTCGAGAAGGATCCCGCGGAAGGCAGCTGTACATCACCACGCCTGGCCCGGGCCATTATGGGCCCGAGGATGGCTTGTTGACCCTCCTGGCCCCGGCCAGGAGGGCGCAAGGCACCACGCCAGGGCCTCGGGTCTGGGAGGGCCGTGGCCAGGCAGGCATGGCGGCGGTGCACGGCTGCCCTGCGCGCAAGGACCTGGGCGACGCCCAGAAGACAGAGGAGCAGAGGGTGAAGGCCTTCGAGGAGATCAAGAAGCTGAAGGAGGACGAGATCTTCGCGGGGCAGGCCCAGATCGAGAAGAAGACCGAGGAGCTCGCCGACACGGACGAGCGGCTGGCGCACGCGAAGGAGGACATCGAGGACACCAAGGCCTCTCTGACGGCGGACGAGCAGTTCTTGATGGACCTGAAGCAGAAGTGCCAGATGACGGACCAGGAGTGGGAGGCGCGACAGAAGACGCGCGCCGCCGAGATGGAGGCCGTTTCAAAGGCCCTCGCCATCCTCAGCGGCGACGACGCCCACGACACCTTCACCCGCACCTTCAACCCCGCCCTCCTGCAGACCCGCCTGCACCGCTCTGGCGACCGCCGCCAGGCTGCAGGGCTCCTCGCCGCCCAGGCATCGAGGTTGCATTCGCCGCGCCTGGCGGCCCTGGCGACCAGCGTGAGGCTGGACGCGTTCGAGAAAGTCAAGAAGGCAATCGACGACCTCGTTAAGGCCTTGCAGGACGAGATGGCCGCGGAGGTCAAAAAAAGGGACTGGTGCATCGAGGAGTTCGACCAAAACGCCTTGGAGACGCAGCAGACGGAGTTCGTGAAGAAGGACGTCCTGGCCAAGATCGCGGCCCTGGAGACCACCATCAACACCCTAACTGCCGAGATCGATACGCTCAAGACCGAGATCGCCGAGATGGAGAAGCAACTCAAGGCCGCCAGCGAGGTGCGGGACGCCCAGAACAAGGAGTTCCAGGCGACCGTGGCGGACCAGCAGGAGACGCAGAGGCTGCTGAAATCAGCGCTGGAGGTGCTGGCGGGCTTCTATGGCAAGGGTACCACCGCGCTGGTGCAGAACAAGCAGGGCCCCCCGCCGCCGCCGGGGTTCGAGGAGTACAAGAAGAGCGCGGCCAGCGGCGGCGTGATGGAGATGATCGAGCAGATCATGCTGGATGCCAAGAAGATGGAGGAGGAGACTCGCCGCGACGAGCAGGAGGCCCAGAAGGCCTACGAGGATTTCACGAAGGAGACCAAGGACTCGGTGGCCGCGAAGAACACCGAGATCGTCACCAAGTCCGAGGAGAAGGCAAAGGCCGAGGGCGCGCTGGTGAAGGCAAAGGAGGAGCGGGAGGCGGTGTTGCTGGAGCTCGAGCAGCTCTCCAACTACAACGCGGAGCTGCACCAGTCCTGCGATTTCACCACGAAGAACTTCGAGCTGCGCCAGACTGCACGCGCGGAGGAGATTGAGGCCCTGCGGCAAGCCAAAGCCATCCTTTCCGGCTCCGACTTTGCAGCAGAGGCTTGAGTTGAGATTCTGAAGCCCCACGTCTACAGTCTTTGCTTCTGTCCGCGGAGGCCTCTGTACACGTTGCAGGTGTATCGATGGATGGCGATGCTGCGCGATTTCCATACGCGAGACAATGGCAGCAGCCCGTGCAAATTGCAGGCGGGCCCGTGCCGTGTCACGGACAGCCAGCAGCGTTGCCGCGCATCTTCGTGCAGATTGCCGTTCGAAGCATTGGTGTGCCGCTCGAAGCATTGGTTTGCCGCTCGAAGGAAATTTGTCGGGCTCTCCGAAATTGGAGCCTAAGATCTCTTACCGAGCAATCGCGGAACAAGAGCGCCTGGGTCAAGTGGCTTGCGCCAGTCCGCCGACCCTCAGGGGAGAAGCGAAGTCCAGGGGTGAGGACCACACATTGTTCAGTTCTGAGTATTCGAAAGTTCCCGGAAAGGGCTCGAGCCCAGGGTTCTCTTTTAGTTGGTAAACCTGTCCCCCGGTGCCAACTTGAAGGAGGCCGGCGAATTTTTTCCCTGATAAATATCGAGGTCGAAGGAGGCCGGCGAATTAAAATTTGAGGAGAAGCTGGGCGAAACCGCTTGTTGTGAAGAAGTTGCACATAAATCACAGGCGTGCGGGCCACTTTTTCGTGTGTGGGATGTCTCGAGCGAAACGCGTGCTCCGCAGAGTTTGCGAGGATGTCTCGAGCGAAACGCTTGTTTTGCTAGAGCCGACCGCGACGCGGAAAAAAAAAGCGGCCCCGCGCGAAAGGAATTTCGATTGATGTTTCGACTAATTTTGTTTTGTGTTTGTACGATTTCCTGGAATTTTGGCAGGATGTCTCGAGCGAAAAATGCACGAACCCACCCTAGCACGGACCATACCCCAGCACGACACACCCCAGCACGACCAGCACCCCAGCACGACCCTCCATCCAGCACCGACCCCACCCCAGCACGACCACACCCCAGCAGGACCCCACCCCAGCACGACCCCACCCCAGCACGGCCCCACCCCAGCAAGACCACACCCCAGCACGACCACACCCCAGCACGACCTCACCACAGCACGACCACACCCCAGCACGACCACGCCCCAGCACGACCATGCCCCAGCACGATCACGCCCCAGCACGACCACCCCCCAGCACGACCACCCCCCCAGCACGACCACACCCAAGCACGACCACACCCCAGCACGACCACACCCCTGCACGACCACTCCCCAGCTATAAAAAAAACAAACGACACACCCCAGCACGCCCCACCCAGCACGACCACACCCAGTCGCACCCCCGTGGAATGTTTCGTGGCGTGTCTGGTTGAGTGGGTGCCTGTTCGTGGGGTGTCTCGTGGAATGTTTCAACGGGTGTCTCGTGGAATGTTTCGTGAGGTGTCTCGTGGAATGTTTCGTGAGGTGTCTCGTGGGATGTTTCGCGGGGTGGCACGACCACGCCCCAGCACGACCACCCCCCCAGCACGACCACCCCCCAGCACGACCACCCCCCCAGCACGACCACCCCCCAGCACGACCACACCCCAACACGACCACACCCCAGCACGACCACTCCCCAGCACGACCACACCCCAGCACGACCACACCCCAGCACGACCACACCCAGTCGCACCCCCGTGGAATGTTTCGTGGCTTGTCTGGTTGAGTGGTTGCCTGTTCGTGGGGTGTCTCGTGGAATGTTTCAAAGGGTGTCTCGTGGAATGTTTCGTGAGGTGTCTCGTGGGATTGTTTCGTTGAGGTGTCTCGTGGGTGTTTCGAGGGGTTTTGGTGTTCGTGGGATGTTTCGTGAGATGTCGCCCAGTTGGGTATCGTGAAAACGTGACCATGCTGCACATGTCTTTATCCCTTTCCGGGTTCGTGGGTCCATCATGTTTTTCTGTTCCCGGGAAGGGCTTAGGCCCAGGGTTCTCTTTTATTCAATCGGTTCGCTCATTCCGTCGGTCCTCGAGCGCCCTATGGGGCCTCTTTGGAGCCTCTTGGCGGGCCTCTTTGGGGCCTCCTATGGGCCTCTTGGGGGCCTCTTTGGGGTCTCTTGGGGCTCCTTGGCGGCGTCTTGGAGCCCCCTTGGGCCTCTTGGGGGGCTCTTGGGGGCCTCTTGGGGCGGGGTAGTCGAGTGCACCCCCCTCGGAGGCCACGATCCTGGCGAGGGGTGTCGAAAAAAGGCCCTCAAAACCATGTCTGAGTAGACCTGCTCGGGCTGCGGTCGGGATACTGTTCGCCGGGGGACCCCCAGGGGCCGCCCCGCGCGCGCGAACTAGAAATATTGTTAAACAGTTACCGGAGATCTTCGCACGCCTCTGGCCCGTTGGGCCGGCGAATTCTCTTTTAGTTTGTTTCCCCCGGGTTTGGCTTGAGGTGGGCCGGCGAATTTCCTCGAGGTCGAGGTGGGCCGGCGAATTAAAATTTGAGGATGTCCCTAGCGAAACGCTTGTTATTCAGAATTTGTTGAGGATGTCTCGAGCGAAACGCTTGTTCGGTGTTATAGATTGTCCTCTCCTGGGGACCGGAATTCAGAGGATCTCTCAAGTGAAATGCTTGTTTTCACGTGCCCAGGTCTTGAGGATGTCTCGAGCGAGACGCTTGGTTTCACGCCTCCAGGTTGCTCAGGCAGAGGTCTAGCCCCAGGATTTGTTGAGGATGTCTCGAGCGAGACGCTTGGCTTCATGCGTCATCGTCGCCCAGGCGGATGTCTAGCATGAGGATGTGTTGAGGAAGTCTCGATGGAGATGCTTGTTTGCACGTGTCCAGATTGCCCAGGCGGATGCCCAGCATGAGGATGTGTTGAGAATGTCTCGAGAGATACGCTTATTTTCACGTGTCCAGGTCGCCCAGGCGGATGTCTAACATGAAAACGTGTTGAGGATGTATCGAGCGAGACGTTTGCTTTCACGTGTACAGGTCGCCCAGGCGGAGAATGAGGAGGTGTTGAAAACGTCTCGAGCGAAACGCTTGTTTTCACGTGCCCAGGTCACCCAGGCGGACGTCTCACATGCAGATGTATTGAGGATGTCTCGAGCGAACCACTTGTTTTCACGTGTCCATTTCGCCCAGGCGGATGTCTGGCATGAGAATGTGTTGAGGATGTGTTGAGCGAAACGCTTGGTTTCATGTCAGGCGGATGTCTAGCATGAGGATTTTGGCGGGGTGCCTCGAGCGAAACGCTTGTCCCAAGCACGTTCCGTAGCGCGTCCCCTTGGCACGTCCCGCGGTACGTCCCATGGCACGTCCCATGGCACGTCCCCTGGCACGTCGCTTGGCGCGTCCCTTGGGACATTCCGCGTCGCGTCCTCCTGGCATGTCCCCTTGTCAATTAGCTCTGAGGCAGCTACTTTGTGCTCAGGCAGCTCGATCTTAAGATCCAGATCAGTTCGGTCAGGACTCGGATGCAAAGGAGGACTCGATCCACAACGCTACATAGAGCACAATCGCGGCATGGCACATCGCAATTCAGCACGGCGCAGCACAGCACTGCCCTCGGAACGGTACATCAAGATCGATACTACATACATTCAGCATTGCAACCTGGCATGTTTCTTGGCACGTTCCGTGGCGCGTCCCGTGGCGAGTCCCCCTGGCACGTCTCGCGGCGCGTCCCTTGTCACGTCCCGTGGCATTTCCATTGGCACGTTCCGTAGCGCGTCCCCTTGGCACGTCCCGCGGTGCGTGCCCATGGCACGTCCCATGGCACGTCGCTTGGCGTGTCCCTTGGGACGTTTCGCGGCGCGTCCTCCTGGCATGTCCCCCTGTCAATTGGCCCTGGGGCAGCTACTTTGTGCTCAGGCAGCTCGAGCTTAAGATCCAGATCAGTTCGGTCACGACTCGGATGCAAAGGAGGACTCGATCCACAACGCTATAGAGCACAATCTCGGCATGACACATCGCAATTCAGCACGGCGCAGCACAGCACAGCCCTCGGCACCGTACATCAAAATCGATACACTCAGCAAGATCGATAAATTCAGCATTGCATTTGGCCGTCGCCCAATCAGGTGTCTTTGAAAACGTTGCCATGCGTTGCACGGCTATATTCCTTTCCGGGTTCGTGGGTCGATCATGTTCCCGGAAAGAGCTGAGGCCCAGGGTTCTGTTTTAGAAGTTTGCCCCCGGAATCGACGGGAAGAGGCCGGCGGAATTATTCTGCGATCAATTACGTGCGGGAAGAGGGCCGGCGGAATTATTTTTGACGATGTCCCTAGCAAAACGCTTGTTTTTCAGAAGTTGTTGAGGATGTCTCGAGCGAAACGCTGGTTTTGCAGAGTTGGGGATGTCTCGAGCGAAACGCTTGTTTTGCAGAGCCGACTGCGACGCGGAAAAGCGCCCCGCGCACAGGAATTCCGATCATGTTTCGCGCGTGCCGCGTCCCGCGCGCAGGAATTTCGAGGATGTCTCGACTAATTCGTTTCTTTTGCCAGGATTTCCTTGAATTTTGGCAGGATGTCTCGAGCGAATTGCTTGTCTTTCATAATTTGTTGAAAACGTTTCGAGCGAAACGCTGGTTTTGCAAAATTGGGGGATGTCTCGAGCGGGGGCCTCGTGGGGGGCTTCGTGGGGGTCCAGAATTCAGAGGATGTCTCACGCGAAATGCTTGTTTTCACGTCCCGCTCGCAAGAATTCCGAGGATGTCTCGCGCGTGCCGCGTCCCGCGCGCAGGAATTCTGAGGATGTGGGCAGGATGTCTCGAGCGAAACGCTTGTCCCCAGCACGTTCCGTAGCGCGTCCCCTTGGCACGTCCCGCGGTGCGACCCCATGGCACGTCCCTTGGCACGTCGCTTGGCGGGTCCCTTGAGACGTTCCGCGTCGCGTCCTCCTGGCATGCCCCCCTGTCCATTAGCTCTGGGGCAGCTACTATGCGTTCAGGCAGCTCGAGCTTAAGATCGAGATCAGTTCGGTCAGGACTCGGATGCAAAGGAGGACTCGATCCACGAGGCTATAGAGCACAATCGCGGCATGGCACATCGCAATTCAGCACGGCGCAGCACAGCACATATTTCGGCACGGTACATCAAGATCGA